AAAAAGGGAAGACTACAAACTTAAGACATTTGACAGCTGGTCCCTGAGTCTTAGGGAAGTGCTTCTCTAAGGCTATGTCTACACTGCAGCTATCCCGGAAAAACTCTGCTGTGTCCAGGGAACATGTCTGCTCTTCTGATATTTTTTCGGCATCCCTGTAAACCTTGCTTTACGAAGAAGGAGGGATGTTCTGAAAGGTTTTTTTTTTTCCTGACATTTGGCCCAGTGTAGACGAGCCAAATGTCAAAAAAGCCTCTTCCAAAAAAGGAAGCAGAAAAAGCTACCCAAATTGCAATTTGCATAGCTTTTTTCAGAAGAGCAATGCAGTGTAGGCGTAGGTAAAAGTTTTGCCTTCAAGAGTACTAGTGCAGACAAGTCTTAGATCCCCTATCTTATTGCTGCAACGATATATTTCTTGGGGGTTAAAATATCTTACTGTTTAGTGGGAAAATTCCACTCCTGATTTGAATTTTTTCCTTCACTCATGGAACTCATAGTTCCCTGTGATAGTATTATAGGACAGCACTACAGTTCAAGATCAAGTTTCAAACCATGTCCGGTATATTTTTAAATTCCCTTTCAAGACTAGTGCAATAGAATTGGCAATAAAGTTCAGAGATCTTCAGTATGAAGAATTCTCTTCTTTTATTGACTGAAATTGATTTTTCCCTCATTTTAGCTTCATGAAAAGGTTCAGAAGATTTCCCTTAGCCCCTCCATCATTAAGCACAACTGCACAAAAATCCCAAGATCACACAACTGGGAAGCAGCATATTTTAGAATACTAGAAATGGCAACCTAGGGACAATCAACATGATCAACACTGATATGTGTGGTTCATTAACCTTATGCTATGAAACGAACTGGCTTCTTGACTTAGGTTTCACACATACGGTTTGTGTCTTTTACTGAAAATAGTGTAGTGCCCACCCTATTAGTCAACTCCTTTTCTCCTTCTATGGTTTCCTCTTCATCTCCGAATCACACTTTCATGAACTGTTGGGCCACTTCCACTCAGACTTATGCATGCTAATATTTCTAAACATTGTGTTGCTACATGCTGTTCAACCCATACGTCTGCTTAGTTGCACAATTAAAGAGTTGTTAAATAGCACTATCTGGGACAAAATCTGCCCTCAGCTATGCATCTCCGACTCCTATGACTTCAGTTGGATAGCACATCATGCCACTGCCCAAAAGCAGATTTTTGGCTCCAATGTTTAATGCTCTGTCAGCCACTCATCTGCCCTTTCATATTTTTTCAATAAAAAGGAAAACAACATTGCTTTGAGGTTCAGAGCTATATACTGTAGAAAACTATATACATATATATTAGCATCTCCATGTTTAGAAGTAAAAATATATCAGATTAAACATCTAAGGAGCTTTGTAGCTTTTCTAGATGAGATAAATACATTTAATTAGAATTCCAGTGCTTTTTCTGCATTAAATTGAAGATAGTTGCCACATACAAGGCCTTGCTATATTACTAGCAAAATATTTGTATACAGTGCAACAGTTAAAAGGGTTCTTTTATATTTAATGGCAATTATGATGTAACAATCTTGAGGTAGACACACTAGACTTGCATTAGGAAGGAGTACTAGATCTGGTAGTATCATCCTTGTAAAAAGTATGAACATTTTTTTTAAATGGCTCCTACTGTGCTGTACAGAAGGAAAATCACAATGAGAGAGAGAGGTTCTTATTGGGCAAACTATGTATTGTAGTGGCACTGCAAAGAAGAAGAGAGCTCTGGAATTTGAGACTTTTGCAAAGTAAATAAATAAATAAGAGATGTTCTCCTTCCCCTACTTCACTAGAGAAAGGGCCACGAAAAGCCTAGTAGCCAGCAGAAGGAGCAGCACAGAACTGAAGTGAATGCCTCTCCCTCCCAATATTCAGAGGCAGTGTGGGTGTTGGTGTGAAGACAGGAAAGAGTTTCACATCCTGAGCTTTAAAAAAAAAAAGCCACAGCCCTGAAGGGAGAAGACGATAGCACCCACCTTTTCAGCAAATTGACTGAGGTTTGATTGACTGATTGAAACACATTAGCTCTCTCACTAGGGTCCTATGGGTTGCCCTTAAGTGCTTGTTGAAAATTAAGCACATGCATAAATAAATCCAGGTACTCAGATTCTCACACATGCTTCAATGCTTTGTTGATCAGAGCCTAATATTTTAAGTATGTGTGAAAATGCAGCAATACTGAGGATGCAAATGCCTGCAGAGACCAGGAGCTAGCATCCTGTCAGGGTAAAAGGGAGACCAGTGGGAGGGAATTCTGCTTCGTTGTTTGGATGGCGATTCATGTGCTTGGATCCCCATTCTGCATTGAAACTGGAGATCCTGACAACCTTGACTATGAAGCCTCCAGCCTTATGCAGTTACCGTGCTGTGAAAACATTGCGGTGCGTCCCCTATGGCTGGCTATTTTGTGAAAGGCGATAGTCTGGGCCTAAGCTGCAGAAAAGAATCTTCTCGCCTCCCCACTCTTTAAAAGGTTTATTCTAAACTGCAAACTGATTTTAAATATTTGTCTAACGTTATTTGGATAGGTGCACAGAATAGGACCAGCTCAATGTGCA